TAACAACTGAAGCACAATTGTAACACTGATGTGTTTTAAATAAATGGGGAAAAACATTTAAAGTTATATACAGGAGAAAGTAAGAAGTAAAGAAAGATATGGTTTCTTATGTCAGTCTCCTAAAAAGATACCATTAGACTGTTATAAATTATGTACAGATAATGTAGTACCTTGACTATTTCAAAAACCATACACAAAGATACACTCGAAAACAACAGAGATCAATCACAGTAGAATTCTAAAATATAATCAAGAGCCCACAGGAAGGCAGGAAAAATGCTGTTTGGCTCTTAAGTATCCCCCAAAGGCCTATGTGTTAAAGGCTTGGTCCCTATTGTAGGGGCTTGGTGTGAAATCCTCAGAAGGTAAGGCCTGGTAAAAGGAAGAAAGGTCACTGTGTGCAAGCCTTCTTTCTTTCTTCTGTGCATCCCAGCCATAAAACAAGTGGTTTTACTATGCCTGTGCTCCCCACCATAATGCACTGCTTTGACACAGGCTCAAAAGCAATGAGGCAGATCGCTTCACATCTTTCAGCCTTCTAGTATAGACTCTTCAGCATTCCATCACAGATCCATGGCCTCCTGATAGTCTTGCATGAGGCACTGCAATGAGCTCCAGACCTTGGACTGAAACCGCCAGCCTCCAGTGTACAGGCTTCCTCAATCATGGGTTGTGTAACGACTCACTGTGTCAACTTGAGAAGTCTGGAAGCTTAACTAAGCTGGCTTAGCAAGTCTATACCCTCGGGTGAGAAGGACCCACTTGTCACCAGGATGTTATGAAGCGGAAATGAGGAAGGATGGGCTTCTGTTCTTTGCAGGAGCTCATCTTCCCCTTCAACTTGGATATCATCTGGCTTCGGCACACACCTCAGCTTTCGCCTCAGATCTTTCCGCCTTCCATCACAGACCCAGTGGCCTCGTGATGCAGTCTTGCATGGGACACTGCAGTGAGTTCCAGACCTTGGGCTGAAACTGTCAGCCTCCAGTGTGTAGACTCCCTCTGCATGCTTCCTCATCTGACTCTGCCGCTGACCGCTGGAAGCTGTTGTGTAATTTCTTACTCCTTTGTATATTTTGTGTTATATATTTCTCTAATAAAATACTGACTGATACTGACTGAAACCACCAAAACTATGCCAGAAGAACATTTTCTCTTTTTAAGTTGATTATCTTAGATATTTTGTCACAGTAATAGAAAATTAACTAACACAAAAAGATTTCAAGAAGGAGATATGAAAGCAGAAAAAAACCAATGGAAGAAAAAAAGGCAGATTTGGACCCTAGCATACCAATAATCATGTTAAATTTCAATGGCCTAAATACACCAATTAATAGAGACTGATAGAGATTTAAAAACATGACCCAGTTTTTATTATTATTAATTATTTTATGTATTTAGTACAGGGTCTACAGGGTCTCACTACACAGATTGGACTTGTTGTGATCCTCCTGTGTTCACCCTGCTAAGTGCTGGAATTACAGGCACATGCCATCATGCCTAGTCTCAATCACCATCTCAGTGTGCCCTGGGGGCCGGGCCAGCATGGCACGCTGGGGATCGAACCTGGTCCCTGCTTCTGCCTAAGCAGGCATTTTAATCTGCTGAGCTATCTGGCCGGCCCTATGATCCAATTAATTATATGCTATCAAAATAAAAACTCACTTCACATATAATGATACACGAACCTTTAAGTTAAAGGTTGGAAAAAGATATGTTAAAGGAACACAGGGAGGCTATATTAACATCTAAAAAATAGACTTAGAAAATTACCAGAGATGGAGAAATTTATGTAATGATAAGGTTTCATCCTAAAGACACAGAAAGGTGTATACATCCAAATGACAGAAGCAAATTCTGAAAAACAAAAGACAGAACTGAAAGCAGAAACCTACAAATCAACAATCACAGGTGGAGACTCCTCTGTCAACAAATGTAAAAGCAACTAGACAAAATCAGCAGACACAGAGGAACACAAAAACAGCATTAGCCAACAGGGTATAATCAAGATTTATAATAGAACACTTTTCAACATGAGCAGAAAACCCAAGTATTCTCCTTAAGTGCCAGTACAGCATCTACCAAGACAGACCACAAGCTGGGACACACATACACAAAAGCATCTTGAAAGAACTGAAACACAGAATGTGTTCTCTGCCCACACTGACATCAAACAAACAAAAAATCAGTACCAAGAAGATGGAAGAAAATCCTCAAAGCTGAAAACTAAGCAGCACATTTCTAAATAATAATATAGGAGTCAACAAAAAAGCTTGAAGGCAAATTTTAAAATGCATTAAAGTTAATGAATATAAAAATACCCATGTCAGAAATTGTGGGACCCAACTAAAGTAGGGCTGAGAGGGAAAGTTAGGACAATAAATGTGCACATTAGAGAAAAAGTTTCAAATCAGACGAGAACCTAGAAAATGAAAAGCAAAACAAACATAAAGCAAACAGAAGGAAACAACAGATAAGGGAAGAAATCAACAAAGAAAAAACAAACAGAAAAGTGAAACAAAAACTAGTGATTTGAAATAATAAAATTAATCTCTAGCAAAACTGAAAAAGAAAAGACATACATTACTAATATCTGGAATGAAATGGTGGATACCAATAGACAGGAAACCTTTCCAACATAAAAGACTCTAAGGGATCCCAAATTCAACTCTGCACATATAAGTGGTTGAGATGAGATAGAGTACTTGCTAAAAAAGTACAGACTCCTACTGCTGCCCCAGTACGAGACAGATCATCTTGAATAGTCCTCCTTTATAACTACACTTCCACCCTCTCCAGGCCCAGACGATTTCATGGGAGGGTCTAATTTTTTCAATATTCTACACATTGATACATGATATCACATCATCCGTAAGTTAGTTACATCAAGTAGGGTTTTACCTATAGCTCATGCCATAACTAATGATGAAAGGATGATTTTGTCTTAAGATCAGGAACAAGATAAAGATGTCTATTCTATGTTCTGTTTTAAGTTAGTGATAGAAATTCTAGGCAGTACAGTACTGCAAGAAAATGAAATAAAAGGCATGCAGTTAACATGACTTTTAATCCTACCCATAACTGTGCAAACTACACGACTTCCTTCTTCCTATGGCCGACTAATATTCCACATTGCGTTTAAAGAGTACCACAGTTTCTGCGTCTGTCCACCCACTGACTGGCACCTAGGCTGACTGGTAGCTTAGCTAAGGTGAACAGTGCCTCAGTAAGCATGGAAGATGTAACCCCAATCACACGTGGGATCTCTTTGTACCATTTCTTATGACTGCATGTGAATTTACAAGTATCCCAAAGGAAGAACTTTAATTTCGAAAGTGAAATGGCACAGAATATGGGAGGAGAAGCCAGGAAAAGATTAAGATAGACAGAGCATGTGTGAAAAACAGACAACTAAACGAAGCAGTGCTCCTTTGTTTAGTAATCCTTTGGTGGCAGCAGTATGCAGAGCTTTACTTCTGTGTTCTCACAGAAGTATGAGAGCAAAACGCTTTATGGCTTCTTAGCGCCTTGCGATCAGATCTTCCTTCCTCACCCGATTTACTTCTTTCCTTACTTCACAAGCTCCTATGTCACGCAGAGGACCTGGAAAGGGTGCAAGCATGTGTCCAACAACCATGTCTCCTTATTTCTCTTCATAGTGAGACTAAGCTAAACTCAGAAAATTCATTCCCAAAGATGCCAATTAAACAAGGGAGAGAAAGAAATGAGAGAAGCAAGGAAATGAGCAGGCCAGTTGAGCAAGCCACTCATACAAATGAAGGAAATTCTGACATTCTGTAAAATGGATTAACCCTCATTCCACTTAATGACATAAGCCAGAAACAAAGGACAAAGACTGTATGATTCTATTTCATGAAATACCAGAGTAGGGCTGGTGAGATGGCTCAGTGGTCTAAAGCACCTACTTAGAACAAACTTAGCAAAGCACAGGGACCGCGGTTCAATCCTAGCACCACATGCCAGCCCGCCCCGCCCCCTGGTGGGCTGAGCTGGCCACACACACACACACACACACACACACACAAAAAAAAAAAATAATAAGAAAAAAAAAAAAAAAGAAATACTAGAGTAGTCAAATTCATAGAGATGCAAAGTAAAATGGTGTTTGCCAGGACTGAGGAGGAAAATGTGGAGTTGTGCTTCATGGTAGAGTTTAGGTGTTCAAGACTCAAACCACATTGCTGATATCATCTCACTTAGGACAATCACTAAATGGATGAATCCTACAAAGCTAGAAAAAAATACTCTCACCAGGAAATGTTGGCCGAAGCTCCGGGTCTTCCCTCCAGCAGAGCTTCATGAGGTCAATGACCCCCTTGGGGCAACGTTCAGTGATCTCGTCCACGTTGGGCCTGTTCCCACCTTTTATGCATAGCAACAGCTGCTCCACACAGATGGTATCTGTAAAGCAAAGAGGAGCTCTGGGTGAGCCCTTAGGCGTCTGCTTTTCTCTCCGGCAGAAGACAACAGAACTGAACAATACAATCGATGTGGTACCAGCTCTCAGGGAATGTGCAAGCTAGCGGCCCACACTGCCACTGATGGAACAATTTCAGACCTCCATGGGTTTCACTGCAGTCATTAACTCAAGTAATAGTTCTAATTAATATTATAGTTCCATTCCACAAATGCCTTACTCTCGGGGGACTTGCTCGTTAGCTCAGTTGTTTAAAGCGCCTGCTTGGGCAAACTCAGTCAGGTGGGGGGGGGGCGTGGTTTGATCCCTAGCTCCACAAGCCACACCAGACCTGCCATTAAGGCAGCCTGAGCTAGGAAAAAAAAAAAAAAAAAATTCTACAGATGTCTTACTCTCGTATGGCTCTTTATTTGCAAATATTGCCCAGAGAACTATGCCAAAGCTGTACACGTCCGACTTCTCCGTGGGCTTGATGTTGATGTTGCTGAGGTGCTCAGGGGCCATGTAGTACAGGTTGCCACCATTTCTTCTGGCGGTGCCATTAGCCCTCCTCTGCTCGTTGTGTTCCTCCTTAGTCAGTTTGCTCCATGTCTTAAAGGAAGCAACCCCAAGGTCAGCTATCTGCAAAAGAGAGCAAACCACTGGGATTACTGTGTGAAGGCTACAAACCAGTCAGATTTGGCTAAAAATGTGGGGTTATTCCAAGATGAGCCTGAGGTACGGAAACACTAGGTGGCATGAGCAATGTTTAAATCAGCTTTGGAATTGACATACAAACTTACGTCTTTCTTCACTTACCTGGAAAATCTCCCCTAAGCAAAGTTCACATAATATTTTATTTTTTATTTATTTTTTTGGCGGAACTGGGGATTGAGCTCAGGCCCTTGCGCTTGCCAGGGAAACGCTTATTCCACTGAGCCATCTCCCCGTCTCTCACATGATATTTTAATATCTCCATTCTTAGGCAACAAGACATTTATGCCAGAACACTAAGAACAAAATGCATTTATATTGACTCCTCCTGTATTCTGTACCTGTTTTTCAGCTATATCTAGGGTTGCAGGGACACACATTATCTTCTCAGCAGACTTCCATACAGAGGCTAGGTGCTACACCTTCCCTTCCCCAGACGGCCTTGGAGGCCCACGGGTGTGACTCTGCGAGGCACACAAGGGCTATGCTGCCAGTTTTTCTGAGTTGGTAACCTGGGATGCGAAGGAAGGGGAAAACGATAGAAAAGCACAAACAGCGAGGTCAGACTCAGAGCAATGAGGGAGGTGGCAGGACATAATGACAGAACACAGTTAAGAAAGAAGCAAAGGTGACAGTTTCGCTTCTCTATCTGCAAATCCAAGCAACCATTCGCAAGTGCATTCTGGCATGCGATTATCTGAAAACTCAAAGACTTTATAGGCTTCAAGCGTTTTGCTTAATAAAAAAGATCCCCAGAACCGGGCAGGTGGCGGAGACAGGAGGATTGCTGTGAGTTCAAGACCAGCCTTGTGGCTACCAAAGTGAGCACAGGGCCAGCCCAAACTACATAGTGAGACCCTGTCTCAACAAAACAAAACAAAACAAAACAAAACAAAACAAAACAAAACAAAACAAAACAAAACAGAAGAATATCCCTCTCAAAGCCACAGATTTTAACCATTAGTGATAGAGGCTGTTAATTTAGAGACAAGACACTGGATAAAACCTGTCCATGACCCGAGTGTCAGAAGCAGAATCTTGCAGGCAGGCTCTGAGCTCTTCCCCACACCACTTTCCTTTTCCAGACCTTTTGTGTTTTGGGGTGTGGTGGAGATGGAACCCAGGCTTTCTGCCTGCTAGGCAAGTGCTCACAAGTTACGTTCCCAGCCCCAACCCAGGTTTGTGCACTTAGATTCCAGCTGCCAAAATCAATCCATGTGCTGCTCCCCCCAACAAAATCTTGCCCTGGAATGAGCAAAAGAAAATGGATTTAAACAAAAATGCAACAAATGAAAATAAAAAAAGCCTTAGATCTGCTGAATTTCAAAGCAGAGACTTTTAATGCCCTGGTGGCCAGTCTGCTGCTGATCTGACTCTCTGGCTGCATCTGCCCTAGATTTCCTGGCAAGATAAGAATGACTTAGTCCATGGTAACCCAGGCGACTCCTGAATGCTTCTGCTCTGAGCCTACCAGTGGAGGGAAACACACTTGGGGGAGAGGTCTGCTTGCCTACCTACTTATGCTCCTTGGCAAAAGGAGCACGTCTGCATTCTCACCATCACCTCCCTAGTCTGTTCTCTGGCAGCCTCACCTCAAGTAACATGCTGAGCTAGGTCTTCCTCTACCATCTTCCATTTGTATGAGCAGATTTACGGGGGACAGTGAGCACTCAACCTTCTAGAATCCTAGAGACTAAGTAACACTTACCTTAATGTGAAAGTCTTTATCAACAAGGAGATTATCAGGCTTCAGGTCCTTATGGATCACACCTTCTCCGTGTAAGTAGCACATGCCTTCAATCGTCTCTGCAACTATCCTTCCTCTTACAGAAAGCGGGATGCTGATCTGAAATGAGAACAGATGCGAGCAAAGGACGACAACTGAACAGGCAGCAACTCCACATGAGAGGTGCGATCCAACCCAAGGGTGGAGAGACCACAGCTCCTCCAGACACCCCGCTGCTGTTGTCACTGCGTAACAAGCCCCCCTTGCAAGAGATTCCTTTCTAGGGGCTAAAGGTATGGGGGTGCTAGTTTGTCAGTGTAAAAACAAAAATTCCTTGCAAGTTTCATGGCATATAAAAATACTATAAAATTAAGCAAATGAATGAACAAGAACACAGAAAACCACTTTCTGTGGTGTACTCATATGATGTGATACTTCTGCTTACATTAACTACATGAATAACTTTCCTATCAGGAAAGTGTGCATGGGAAATGTTAAAGGCAACACAGGAAACACGTTCACACTGATACAACCACATACAAATCTAAGCCATAAAAAATTACGCTTCAAGTGAATTAGTCCCTTCTATTCAGTGATCTGGTGTCAGGCCTTCTAGGTCACCGAACAGTCTCAGGTCACTTTGAGGTTATAGTCTAACTGTACCATCCATGTTGGTATAAACAGTTTCACTTTCCATTTTAGAGGTTACATTTTAGTTTCACTTAACAATGAAAAACCAATTTATAAATAGGTTGTTTCCTTAAAAGGGTTTGCACATTGGTTGGTTAACAAAGAAACATTTAAACTATGGAATTAGATTCCTAAGTGTACCCTTCAAATCATATCTAACCGGGCCAGCCCCACACAAACAGCAGAAGCAATCTGTTCCCTTCTTCCTTGATGTACTCTGGCCTCAGGAAAAAGTCAAGCCAAGTTGGCTCTTCTGATTCTTCCTGTCTCCCTCGGGCCCTCCTGATTCTTCCTGAGCCCCAGCTAATGCACCTTATCGCTGCCCAGTTCCGCAGAATACCTCCTGTCCCAGAAGACTTACTCCTCAGCTAAGAGGTCTTCTTTTAGGCTGCTGCTCTTAGCTGGCCTGAGGGAGGAGAGCAGCCTGGCTGATTGCACTGCAGTAGATCCAAGTGACCAGCTGCTCTCCTGCCTCAGGCGTCTATTGGTGAAAGAGCTCTGCGGACCGGCTCTTAAGGATGGGAGGGGAGATGGGGGAAGGGAAACTGCCACAGAACCAGCCGGGCCCTGCCACTCTGCACTCTGTACCTCTAGCCAGACCCTGTCTTTGCAGTTCTGGAAGTTTGGTTGTCCTCTTACTCCTTTGTACCCAGCATTATGTCTGCAGAACGCTTATCTCCTCTTATCCATCTGATGGAAGCCCTACCCTTCTGTCCCAGGCTGCGGTGGGTGGCAGTCCTCTCCTTTCCTCCATATTAAGTCCAGTAGTGCTTTGAATATCATGAATATTCCATCTTCTTTTACATTATGTAGAGTGCAGAAGCACTTACCAATCACTGACTGTCACAGTCATGAAAGTGCACATAGTGTCATCATTAAGCTGTCACTGGCCACGCATATACCCCATGTCAGAACATGTGCTTCTGAAGCTTGGCCTGTCCTAGCTTCACTTTAGTGTAGAGGCTGGCAGCTGTGGTAACAAGTCAGCCACAGCACTAGACATACAGGGGGGGACCTTTTAAGCAAAGACGCAGACTATTGGGGATGAAGGGGAGAGACCCCCTAGGCAGGGGAAGGCAGGCAAGATCTAAGAACTAGCAATGGTGGGACAGGCCTGTAAGCCCAGCTGCGTGGGAGGCTGAGGCAAAGGGATCACAAGTGTAAAGCCAGCCTGGGCAATTTAGCAGGTAAGAGTCTCAAAATTTTCAAAAATAAGGGCTAGAAGGGTGGGGATGCAGCTTAATGGCAGAGCAGCCCAAGGTTTGATACTCATTAGTGTACACACGTGTGTATACACACACATGCACACACACACAATCGAAGAAGGACTATTTTCACTCTAACCAACTATAGAGTAACTCACAAAGGGATTATTTTCTGTCAGTGAACTATGGGCAGCCCAGCAATACCCAAACAGCCAGCCAGCATGCAGGCTGCACAGCAAGCCCCATGGTGTCCACTACCTGGGCCTTGAGCATGTGCATGAGGCTGCCCTTCTCGACGAACTCCATCACCAGGGCGTAGTTCCCTTCCTCCATGATGATGCCCAGCAGCCTCACCACATGGCGGTGCCTCAGCTGGTGCATCACCTTCCCCTCCTCCAGGAGAGCCTCGTTGTACCTGCGGGCAGAAAGGCACCGTGCTGAGGTGACCCACCAGCCCTTCTCCCTGCCTCACACTGTCACTCTCGGGCTCTCTATCTCCCAGGCACAGGCACCTTCACGCCCCTGCGCCCAGTCCCAGTAGCAGGCACTCAAGACTGTAAATGAATGCCAAGCCCAGGGGCAACAGCAACACGGCCTGAACAGAACACTGCTGGTCAGTGCATGACAGGAGGGAGAGAGGGAGTGTGACCCCTCAGCACTGCTCCCATAAGGGCTGAGTCGCCTTTTTCCATTTTTAGGTCTAGTCCTTGCCAAAAAATGTAAAGCAAGCAAACCCGTTTTCTCTGATTCCTCCCATTTCCGTCACATTGCCTCCTGCCTTGCCTTTTCCCTCTCCATGATCCCCTGCCACGATTTACCAGTTTTTCACCAAATGGCCTTAGGACCCTCGTCAGAGACAGTGGCAGTCGTAAGGGTTACGGCTGCTCTTGGCACAGAGTCGGTGTACTGATTCCCCCAGGTCTGCCTCGTCCTGAACCCTGACGTAACCGCTTTCCGAGGCCAGTGGGGAGTGCGGGCCCACCTCTGCCCCAACTCACTCCATGCGCTTGGGCCCCGTGTACACCTTTTTCAGGATCACATGTTCATACGTCCTGTGGTAACACGAGAACACTGCTCCGAAGCCTCCGCTGGCCAGATCCTCTTCCCACAGGAGCTCACTGGAATTCATCCTAATGTCATCCAAGGACATGTTTGCTTTTTTTCTGAGTGCTCAGAATTCCCCGAAACACGCCACTTTCTTTTTTGTCTGTTTATGTTTCTTTGTTGCCGTGCCCTGTAAGAAGACAGAGGACATCTTAGGGCAAAGAAATTCTGATCCAGAAAACCACATGCTTGGTGTGCTTTTGTCTTGAGGACAGATGACATCATCGCTAACATGAGCTGCTTTCTAAGAATCTCAGAAGATCATAATTTTTCTTCCCATAGACTTTTCATCTCTGGCTATATGGTACACATCAAAATTAAAAAACCTTCCTGCTACAGAAGCCCCATATATCTTGGAAAACATAATTCAAACATCTACTCAAATGCATGGCTAACTCAGAGGAAAGAAAAATAATTTCAAGCACAGAAAACAGCTTGCTAGACAAGGTGCAACAGCCCACTGGGGAGCCCCGCAGGCCACCCTCAGCCTCCAGGCATTGGGGGGAAAGAGCTGAGGAAAGGGCAGGCAAGAGGCCAGCACTGGAATGAAGACTCTGGCAGCATGGCCTCCTGGCCGTGGTGTTCCTCATGGAAAAAAGAGACGAGGCAAAAGCAGTCCACTGGCAAAGGACTTCCTCTACCCGGCACAGGCACGGGGGATAAAAACAGACTGCTGTGAATTCCTAACCTAGACCTGGCCTTCAAATGGATCTGGGCTTTGAAGTTAGAGGATTGTGGCCATCCGCTCCAGGCCACGGTCCCCCCAAGCTAAGAACTTCTGTGTAGACTGTGGTCAGGGGATAATGACATGTTCAGGGTATACAGCTAGAACCAGAAGCATGCATTCAAGTCAGGCTGGACAGGATTCCCATACGGAAAAGCTTAGTATGGCTATGCTTGGCTGTCCAAAGTATAAGCTAGAAAAACTCACTATGAGACAGACCTAGCTCTTAACAACAAAAGGCAATACCACATACCATGAAAGGTAAGAACTTCAGGTAATCAAACTATTCAGGTGCATTAGAAAATAAAATGGGATTAAAATAATTATGAAAAAAGAACAAAGAAGATAAAGAACTATAAAGAACAGTACACTCTGAATGGGGACAGGTTTAAAAGAATGAGGATTTAGGCAGCATTTCTGTGCTATGTAGTATATAGTGACAGGTCTCAGAACAGCACCATTTCAGAAAAAGGTCTCATGGTTTCTTATAAAACTAAATACACTCCTATATATACACTATGATCCAGCAGTTCTACTCCCAAGAGAAATGAAAACATATACCCCAAAAGACCTGTGTGACCCTGCTATGGTTGTGTCTCGGTGTTCCCCCGAAGCCTCATGCCGTCCAGGGGCCCGCGTCTAGAGTTTGTGTTTAATTCTTGATCCAGGGCTGGGATTATGGGTGTGAGGGCTACACCTGCTTGGGGCAGATAATCTGCATACAAAGTAAGGAGGGGAGAGAGGCTTGCTAGCTGCCACAGCTGCTGCTCCTCCCTTTGCTCTTCACTGTTGTCCGCCACCAGGAACAGCTGCCCTCTGCCACCTACTGCACTCCCTTGGAGCCAGCCGAGTGTGGGCTGAAACCTCCGCTGTGAGCTAAAAAAAACCTTTCCTTAATTTTGGCTGTCTAGTATTTTGTTCTAGCAATGAGACAAAAGTAGGACAGACATTCAGAACAGCTTTATTTATAGCTGCAAAGCACAGAAAGGCATCTACCAGAAGGGGCGTGGTAAAGTATTATACTACGTAATTTGCACTCAACCATAAAAAAGAGTTGAATTACTAATGCACAGAACAGCACAGTTGAGATGCAGAGACATGCTGAGTGAAACAGAAATACAGAATTGTGTAGGGTGCTGCTGTGCCTCGGGGGATACATGACACAGAGAGCAGCGCACAGCTGTGCCAGCAGCACGCACGTGGGAGGAGACGATACGATCTTCCTGGCTGTGCACTCCGTTGGTTTTCAGAATACCATGTTGGAGCAGGGGTCTGGAAGCACCGGGGTGGGAAGGGCTTTCTAAAACACCTGTCTACAGTCTCGTCCAGTGGCCTGCTGCAGACAGCTTAGGTAAGTGACCTTCTATACCTGGGCAAAGGCTGCCCAGACGTGTGCACGGACCAGCACACTAGCTGGATGTTACTAGGCAGCTTCCTAATGACGTTAGGCACTGCCAAACAAGATAAGTTTTCTGGGAAAGAGGCACCTCTGGGAGACAGACAGGGAGGGGAAGCTGTCAGGTAAAGGGGTGGAGTCTGCAGGGAAGGGGTGAGGCCCAGACAGAAGATGAGCTAGCAGGCACCTTAAGGTAGCGCAGGGCAGAGTGCAGGCTCCCTTGTGAGTGTGCACACTAGCTCTGTAACTCATGAGCCCTGTGACCCTGGGACAGCCACTTCAGCCTCAGTTTCTTCAATACAAAAGAGGAAAATGATGATGCCCTCACAGGTTAGGTCAAGACTGTATGAGAAAAAATATGCAAAAACATCCTTGCTGCATGCTTTAGGGCTCTGGCTCTGGTTTACTTGCTCATCTTGGTCCCCTTGCAATGCTTGTGTGCCCTGGAGACTGCCCAGGAGGTCCCACTGACCAGTCCTTGGGAGGGTTAGGCTGGGGTGTGAATCACAGACACAAGGCATGGGAAAGACCCCCAAATAGTAACTAAGATTTTTATCTGCACAGGAAGGCAAACTTTTGCTTTCTTCTCTACCTTTTACTATATTTCCTACAATAAACACAATTTACATTTATAATAAAAGTGCTTAAAAAGGAGTAATTCCTTATCCTCAGTGGTTTTTTTAGGAATTAAATCTGAAATGTTGACTGTTACATAAATCCTGTTCTTGGTGACATTACACAGAACAGCAAAAACATGAAGAATGACCTTCCATGTGCAGAGGAAAGAATTAAGTTCTGAACCGTCCATACACTGACATCTGCTCGGCAGTTTTCAAAAGCAGTGCTATGGAAGACATTCAGTGACAATACAATATGTTCACAGACAGCAGACACTACCGGCTGTCCTAGCATGTGCCCACGTGGGGTAGGAAAGCAGCTTTCTGAGTTGCACGCTGTCTGCCATTCACACCAGCCTGTGGCTCCTCCAACATAGCAGGTCTGGGCTTGCGCAGCCTCCTGCAGGTGTGTGCGAGCCCGTGTCTGATGCTTTCTGTGAGCAAAGCTCCAGACCCGATGTGGCTTGCTGGCTTAGTCCACTCTTCATTTTCTACTTCCATTGCTAGGTTTTCTGTGCTTTCTTTTGTGTTTCCTGCTCCCCTCCCTTTTTCCCAGGAATGATTCAATTTTGGGTACTGAACTTAGGTCTTCACATGCTGGCTGTACCACACCCTCAGCCTGACTCATTTAAAATGGCATGTTTTAGCAAACTGATGGGGAAGAAGAAGGTTGATTCCACTGCCACATCAGGTGAATTATTTAACCCAAGTATTTAATGTTTAACCCTTAAAATGGTTAAATGTATTTATTTCTTCATTTGTAAATTAAAATAATAAAACAGTGTACTTCATGGGATCACTAATATATATGATCATGGTTGGTTAAACTCTATTTTCATTATAGACAGCTAAGTTAGGTAGAAATATTCTCAGCAGGCAGACAGGGACAGGCCCTCAAGAGTCAGTGTAAAGGCCAGGGAGACAGCTCAGCAACATCAGCGCCTGCCTGGCAAGTGCAAGGTCCCAAGTTCCATCCCTGGTACCAAAAAAGGTCAGTGTGAAAGATGGGAATGTACTGTGATTGTGGGGAGACGCATTCACTGAGGGCCAGAGCTCAAGATAAGGGATGGAATGACTGTACCCACATACTTCCCCTAGAGATGCAGACTGATATTCGAAATAGGTATCAATCACTTAAGATTGGGGGGCCAGGAAGAGCCATGACACACTCCCTCCAGAGAAAGTCCCTGTTCAGGTATGCTTGCTGCACGATTGCTTCCCCTCAGACCCCCGTTTAATCAGTGTTACCTAAGTGATTATACTCAGAATTTTTTGTTTTGTTTTGCTTGTGTTTTTGGTACCAGGGATTGAACTCAGGCCCTTGTGCTTGCCAAGCAGGCTCTTACGCTGCTGAACTATCTCCCTGGTGCGTACACTCATAATCTTTTTTTTTTATTTTTATGTATTTAGTCCAAGGTCTACAGGGTCTCACTACACAGATCGGACTTGTAGTGATCCTCCTGTTTTCAGCCTCCCAAGCTGTGGATTACAGGCGCGCACCACCATGCCTTATCTATATACTCAAAATCTTATTGGTTGACCATAGGTTTGTCCCATCTCACACCCACCTTGTAATTTCCCATTTAATTAATATTACTTGAGATTATACTCATAATCTTACTAGTTCACCACAGTTCTGCCCCACTTGTGATTTCCCATCAGATCCATGTCACTTAAGTGACTATACTTGTAATCTTACTAGTTGGTTATAGTCTTTCCCACCTTAGACCCACCTCACCTCATGGTTTAGCTCTGTAAAGTTCGCTTGAAAAAACAGGGTCCTTGGTACTCCACTTGGGACCCTTCTGTCTCACACAGAAGCTTTCTTTCCCCAATAAATACATGCTGTTCTTAACCTCTGCTGTTAATAGAGTCCATCCTTTGACTTTAGAGAACATGAACCTGTGCACTGGCACCCAGCATGATGCGCTTGAGCACACCTAGTTCATTAGCACCGTGGTGGGGAGCTCCTTCCCCTCCATCACTTGGCGCTCTTCCGCTAGGATGACTGGGTGGAAGGAAGAGTGTGCGTTGGTTTCATGGATTCTGGATTGTGACTTAGGTAATCGAAGTTTTTTATACTTTACATCTTTACCCTTTGTCCATTGCTTGTAACTGCTTGTGCTTTGTCTCATATGCACTGTTTTGTTAAAATGGTGATACATTTTAAAACATGGGAAAGTAATCACACTTCTTTAATGGCACATTTTATTTCTGTTTTGTATATGTTACGTTTGGACTAGTGCTGAATTTACTGGTGTTCCTTGCTTGATAACAGCACTAAGAAGAGTAATGTCAGCGCACTCGCAGTAGACTCTGATGTACAGCTCGGTAAAATGGGTCTTTTTATGAAATCTAGTCTATATTTAGCTCAGGCTTTTATCTACCCCCTT